TTGCCATTTCATTTTATGAATATACTTCTTATTAATACTTATAAGCACACGTGTAATACCCTACATTAGATGGACAATATGCTTTTTATTAGTTTAAAGTTTTAAATGTGAATATGTTTAGGTCATCTATGATTATTGTTGTACACTATATAATACACAAGTTGAATTGTTTACCTATTTTCTGCTGCTACAATCCAAAAAAATTTTGTTCCTCTTGTGTTTGACTCCACTTGAATATTCTATGTTTTTTAGTAAAATGTTTCTTAATATTATGTTTATTTTTCTAAGCTATTTCTTTAAATCAGTCTCCCATTATAATATATGTATGTTAGAAATACTTTATGTTTTTATGGTTTGCTTTTAATATATCTATTGTGTCTCTCCTGAGGATTTGATAAAAGACTATGTTATGTCTCTCTCATCATTTAAACATATTGACGTAACGGACATTATAAGAGGCACTGGAGGAGTGGAGCATCTCGGGATTTGTAGTATTAAACGGAATCCGGAAGTGACGTATCGGCAATCACCAAGGAAACCCGGAAGTCGCGTATCGGCAATCAGAGCCGTGAATGAAAATCAGCTGAGTGCCCGCATCCGAAACAGAAAGAAGGCGGGTACAAGGGACTTTTAAAAACCGGACATCAACAGACTAATAAGATTACTGACTGAGGAAGCCGAGAAAGAAGGCGTCTCTGGTAGAAAAGGAGAGAGAGGAAGTAACACCCAGTACTTTTTTGTGCATATTATATTTTTATATATTTATTTTATTTATTTTTTTGTTTAAATAAATGTAAATTTTAAAGTTACTTATATCCATCTCTACCCATAGGCGTGCGCATGGGGTGTGCCGGGTGTGCCTGGGCACACCCTAATCCCCGCGGCACGCGCAATGTGCCTCCCTCCATGGGCCGGTGAGGGAGATCAGAGATCTCCCTCACCAACCCACAGGCAGGGAGGGAGGCAGGAAAGGACCCGGGGTGCTCTTGTCAGCAGCTCCGCCGGGTACCTCTTGCGCGGTCGGAGCTTTGCCGCGCTCAGATCTCGCGAGAGTGAACTCTAGCCCCACAGGCTAGAGTTCACTCTCCACTGGACCACCAGGGAAGGCAGGAGCACGGTCCCCCCTCCCTACATAAGGCAAGAAGGGAGGGGGGATATTAATTAAACAGCCCCCACACATTACACACAAACATACAGCACACACACTAACAGCACCCTCACACTAACAACACCCTTACACACACAGCACCCTCACACATACACACACACAGCACACACTAACAACACCCTTACACACACACACACACACACTAACAGCACCCTCACACTAACACCGTTACACACACAGCACCCTCACACATACACACACAGCACACACTAACAGCACCCTTACACACAGCACACACTAACAGCACCCTCACACACACAGCACCCTTACACACACACTAACAGCACCCTCACACTAACAACACCCTTACACTAACAGCACCCTCACACATACACACACACACACAGCACACACTAACAGTACCCTTACACACACACACAGCACCCTCACCCACAAAGCACACACTAACAGCACCCTTACACACACACACTAACAGCACCCTTACACATACACACACAGCACACACTAACAGCACCCTTACACACACAGCACCTTCACACACACAGTGCCCGCACACACACACAGCACCTTCACACACACAGTGCCCTCACACACACAGTAGTGTGTGTGTGTATGTATGTTTATGTGTATGTGTGTATATATATATATATATATATATATATATGCGGCGTGTGTGTTTCTGGGTGCACACTCTTATACAATAGGCTGCGCACACCTATGTCTCTACCTTGTATTGGAAATCCGGTTGAGGGAAGTGTCACCTCCTAATTGACACTAAAGCCAGTAATACTTAGAGCCAGTCACTAAAAGGCTCTACAAAAGGTGAGCACTGACCTTTATATATATATTGTGCACTATTTGCTTTAACCCCTTAACGCCGTTACGGCGTTCTATGCTGTCCCGCATTAAAAGGGCTTTAAATCCGTTGCGGCGGCATAGAACGCCGTAACGGCTTTCAGCCCCAGGAGATCGGAGGTACTCAGTTCCGCCGCGATCCTCTTCTGGAGGGCTGCCTGACAGCCCAAGCAGCCCTCCCCTGGCAAATGAGGCCCCCTGGGGCCATGTGATCGCTCTCAAGAGCGGTCTCAAAGAGCGATCACATGGCCCCCTATAGCTGGCTGTGCATCTGCCAGCAGGGGGACTGTCTGAAATGTCAGTCTCTCTGCTGGTGGGAAGTGTAAAATAAATTAATTAAACATGTTCAAAATAAAAATTATGTGTATATATGTAAATATAATATATATACATTTTATATATATGTAACATCATACGTAGTGTATTTTAATATTAATATAAGTACATATATTAGTATTAAAATACACTTAGAATGACGTTACATTATATAATATGTATATATATTATATATATAATAGATATATACACATATATTATATATATACACGTATAATTACATTAATAAATAGATAAAATAATAAAATAAATAAAATATTGAAACAAAATTTTATATAAATTATATATTCATATGTAATTTCATTCTAACGGTATTTTGTTATTTATATATATATATATATATATATATATATATATATTGGTAACAAAATACACTTAGAACGACATTCTATATATATCTATCTATATATAAAATACAAATAACCGCAAATATATATATATATATATATATATATATACACATATATAGATAAATACATATAATTACATAAAAGATTACATTAGTATACACGTAGAATTTAAATACCTATAACTGCATATATATTCAAATTCTACATGTATATTTAAGTAATCTTTTAACATAATTATGTGATTTTATTAATTACAATTTGATTGACATGCCTGACAACACAGGGAGAAAGTGCAGAGAATTTAATTCTCAAGCACTATATTTGACCCTGTAACTCTCCAAGACACCATAAAACCTGTACATAGGGGGTACTGTTTTACTCGGGAGACTTCGCTGAACTCAAATATTAGTGTTTCAAACTGGTAAATTGTATTACAACAATGATATTTTAAGTAAAAGTGAAGTTTTTTGCATTTTTTACAAACGAACGGCACTTTTATGGACTATATTATTGTTGTAATATGTTTTACTGTTTGAAAACACTAATATTTGTGTTTAGTGAAGTCTCCCGAGAATAACAGTTCCCCCATGTACAGGTTTTATGGTGTTTTGGAAAGTTAGAGAGTCAAATATAAGGCTTGCATTTCATTTTTTTGACATTGAAATTTGCCAGATTGGTTATGCTGCCTTTGAGAGCGTATGGTAGCCCAGGAATGAGAAGTACCCCCATGATGGCATACCATTTGCAAAAGTAGACAACCCAAGGTATTGCAAGTGGGGTATGTCCAGTCTTTCTTAGTAGCCACTTAGTCACAAACTTGGATTTTCTACTTTTTCAAATGGGAGTAATTCTCATTCCTGGGCTACCACACCGTCTCAAAGGTAACATTACTAATCTGGCAAATTTCTATTTGAAAATGGAACGTTCTATATTTGATCCTGTAACTTTCCAAAAAAACATAAAACCTGTTAATGGGGGGTACTGTTGTACTCGTGAGACATCGCTGATTACAAATATGTGCATTTTTTTTCAGTAAAACCTGACAGTATTATGACATTCACAGCTAAAATGTCAGACGGAAATACAAATTTAAAAAATATATTATTTTCTCACATTTTTAAAAATTTTATTCATAATAAATGATGTTCCATATATGAATAGTTAATGATAACTTAAAGCCCTGTTTCTCCTGAACAAAATGATATATAATAAGTGTGGGTGCAATTAATGTGACAGCGGTAAATTGCGGTTGAACAGACATATAGCGCAAATTCCAGTTTTTGTTTACGTTTTGTTTTGATCAGAACGTACACTATTGACTCCGTCCTGACAGGGTTAAGATAATCTGCACCAGGAGGCCTCTTCTGTTTTCTGTGTTTTGTTTGGAGATACATCTACTGACAGAGGGAAGGTAGGAAAAAGGCTTACTCCCCAGGTGTTGTTGCCTACCTTAAAGGCGCAGAGGCATGTGTTTAGAGCCTATATCCTCATAAAAGGCTCTTAAAAATGTGAGTTTTTGCTTCACTCACCAACTCAAAATTTATCAAGCGTTATTGTACAATACTACTATATATATTTTTCTCTCTGTGTTTATTTTACATGTATACCCCTTGTGTATTGTAAGGGGTAAGTGTACAATTTGCACCATTATAACACTATACTTAGCGCTGCACTTCTATCAAGTAGTGTGGGAGTTTTCTGTATACTGACTCACTACTTGGTAATTTGTTTTCTCTCTAGATTGTAAAATATGCCTAACATGGCAAGGTATTGTAACCAATGTTCTCTAAACCTCTCAGCACTTACAGGTGGGAGGGGAAGCATGGCGAGGGGGAGGCAAACCAGTCCCATTTTTGTGCCTTAGTCTTCGATGTGGGGCTCTCTAAACTTGGGGCTCATATAGGAGCTTTACTTTTCCCATACTGTACTAATTATCACGTGTATGGTTGATCAGTGATGAAGTCAGCCATTGGATCCAAATTGAAGGGGAAGGGGGAGGGAGGGGTTGGGTTCATATTCCAGTATAAGTATAGAAGTCCCTTTTCAATACTCAGAATTCTAAATGTCATTCTCTTTTTTTTTTTATTTCAACTTGGTTGGGGTTCTGTGGTGGAGGAATAAAAAAAAAAAAAAAAGAATAATTTTCTTAAAGAAACAATTACTATATTTAAAAATAGTTTTTAGGTGACAGTTAACTTTTAAATATGAAATTAACTTTGAATTCCAAACAATGTTTACGTTAGTAAATAACCATGTATAGTGAAGCGGGTGTAGCAACATGGAAGACACCATAAACCTAAATTACGCGTCCAACGTGCGACCGAAGGACCCCTTAGGTGACCGATGCGTGCCTGTGGCTCTTCCGATTTGGTGTCCTTGGTATGAACGCCAATCCTTCCTTTAGGTGTCCGTGGCGTGCCTGCTGGTCTCCCTGTTGCTGTACGAGCTGGTTCTCTTTCTTTAGGGCCCTGTCACCGTATCGTATCTGACATAGTGTGAACGTCCCCGTCTTCCCCTCTTTCTCCAGTCGATAGGCAGCAGACCACCGGGCCGGCAGGATGCTGGAAGAGGCAGGCGAGGTGTTTGATAACATGCTGAAGGCTTCGCTACCCCTCACGTTGATCGTTTTTCTGCCGGCAATGCTGCTCCTTGTGTCCCCCCTGCAGGCCGATGCGGCCCACGAGTTCACGGTGTACCGCATGCAGCAGTATGACCTGCAGGGCCAGAGCTACGGTCAGTAGGCACCTACCGTGACACCTACCGGTGCAGTGTGACAGGCAGGGCAGTGCCGCCAGCTATGTTCTCCTTGGAATATCATAGCTATGGAGCATAGATAAAGAAATTATAATTAGAAAATGTAATGTGTTACTCAAAATTCTAAATTCTAGTGTGATCAATGGCAGAGTTGAGTCTTCTTGCATGAGTGCAGGTGGATCTGTCCGCCATCCGTGCACCTGTGACTGTAAGCTAACCTTTTAAGGCTGCATAGTGGCAAGCCCATTGATTACTGAGGGTAAAGTTACAGAATGCTTACTCTAAACTATGAAGGATTTCCTGATTTTGTAGACCGATTTGAGAACCTTCCTGTATGAATGAACGAGGTTTTGTGATTCATTCACCTATGAATGATCTAGCCTTTCATGTATTCCCTGGCTATTGTTCCTTGAGGACTAGTTGCAGTATGAGATACGTGGTTTCTGAAATACTCATATTGAATGTATTGGAATTTCACACAAAAGGTGGCATACGATGAAGTAGGTACTGGTTTGACTTCTAGGCCAAGCCATAGTTGAAAAAAGTTGGAGCTTACACAATCAACTTCTGTCAGTTCCCAGAAGCCTAAGCTAGCTATGGTTGTGAGAATTTTTTGTGTGTGTGTGTGTGTGTGTGTGTGTGTGCCTATTATGCAAATAGTTCTATAGGAGGATAACACAGTCTTGTTGCATAGGCCATAGACTTCAGTATTGTACTCTTCTGTACATAGAAGAGTACAAAAATGATGAGAACGTGTGGCAGATTAACCCCTTAAGGACACATGACATGTGTGACATGTCATGATTCCCTTTTATTCCAGAAGTTTGGTCCTTAAGGGGTTAAGCACCAGGAGCCTAAAATGCAGCAGTACTTCAGGCAATTACCATCTCCCATTCACTTCTCAGATAGTCCATATTAAACAGGCGTGTCACTTTGAGAGGTCTAGCAAAATATGCAAAGACTCCGAAAGTGACACAGCAGCTTTAGGGTCAAATCCTCATGGGTTAGTATTTACATTTGTTTACCTTGTGATGATGGGTGAGTTTCTTTGCTTTACAGGAACCCGTAATGCTGTATTGAACACAGAGGCTCGCACAGCAGAGGCGGATGTGCTGAGTCGACGTTGTGTGCTCATGCGCTTGGCAGATTTCTCCTTTGAGCAGTACCAGAAAGCTCTACGGCAGTCAGCGGGGGCTGTAGTGATTATTCTGCCCCACGATATGGCAGCTCTTCCGCAAGAAATAGTGCAGGTAAAAAGATACCAGCCATTTCTGCACTTGGACCTAATTTTAGGACCACTTTACATGCCATGCTGTAGAATTTATAAACTCAAACTCACCCCTCCCCTGTGTGTGTGTGTAATATATATAATTTTAAATTATTATAAAAATGTGTAATTTATCTGAAGTGCACTGTTTGCAACATTGCAGCAATTCATGGACATTGAGCCGGAGATGCTGTCCATGGAGACTCAGGTACCTGTGTACTTTGCTGTTGAAGACGCAGAGCTGAATTCTATTTATGAGCAAACGCTGTCGGCCTCTGCAAACCAGGGAACATCATCTGCAGCAGAAGGTGAGAAATGCAATGAAGCATCTGTGAGGGTATTAGACTATTAGAGGGAATATTGTTGTGCAGTACACTGGTTTGGTAAGAGCATCAATGACACTTATTTATATCCCCTATAGTACTCCTCCACACAGCCACTGCTAATGGTTTCCAGATGGTGACAAGTGGAGCTCAGAGTAAAGCAGTCAATGACTGGCTTATAACCAGTGTTGAGGTAAGTCACTGTTTGAGGTATAAAAGTCTTGGCTACCTATATGCATCATAATTTAAGGGTATATCCTTTCAGGCCTGGCATCCTGCACATCTTTTGCAAATGCATGATGTTGTTGACATAGTGTTGTTTTTGTTTTATCTATGACAGGTGCACTTTAAAGGGACACCATAGTCACCAGAACAACTACAGCTTAATGTAAAAGGCAGTGTTAACATTTCTTCCTAGGAACACCTCTAGTGGCCGCCACTCAGATGGTCACTAGAGGTGCTTTCTGGGTCAGTGCTGCAAAATGTGCAGCACTGATGTTCAGCATCTCCACGCTCTGCATGGAGACGCTGAACATTCCCCATAGGGATGCTTTGATTTAATGCAAGTCTATGAGGAGATTCTGATTGGCTCAGCACAGTGTTTTGCCGTGCAATTGCCTCCCAATACTTTCCTATGGGATAGCATTTGATTGGCTGAGATCATAGTCTGATGATTTTAGCCAAGGAGCCAGAACAGGGCGGAACCAGCCACAAAGGATTCTTTCAGCGCTGGAAAAAAGGTGAGTTTAACACCTTTTTAACTGAGGATGAGAGGGGCCAGGGTCCTTAACGGCAGTTTCAAAACTATAGTGTCAGGAATAGAGTTTGTATTCCTGATACTAGAGTGTTCCTTTTAAGATAAAATAATCCATGAATGCCACTGGATTTTATTTTCTCTTTTGTATTGCAAGCCAAGCTGTACTTTTCTCTGTTTTTTAATTTTTTGTTTATTTTTAGGGACGCCTCGCAGGTCTTGGTGCAGAAGACCTTCCTACTATTGCTATTGTTGCTCATTATGACTCTTTTGGCGTTGCTCCAGTAAGTTTGATTTGGCAATATGAGATATTGCAGCACACAATTATATGCTTTTTCCTCACTGTTTTCTTTTTTAAATGCTTGTTCTGCTCGGTCTTCAATAACCTGTTGCTCTATTTTGTTGTTGTTGTTTTATTTTTTTATTTTTATATTCAGATTTTTTTTTCTTCTTGCTAATATGATTAAAAAAATCTTCTGTATAATAATAAATTTGCTATACGTGAACTCAAATAATCTGTAACATATAATGCAGGGGTTCATATCAGAGTACACATAAGGGGTAATCTTTGTTATACAAATGAGTTACAGAATGGGCATGGAAATTACATTCTATAAAGTCTGAATTACCCATATTAACCTATTGCTATCTCCACATCTGTGTGTTTTGCATTACGCTACAAGAATATTAAAGGACAACTGTTTAACCAGCCCAGCGGGAGGGTGGCCCAGAGGGCGGGGAAGACCTAATGACTCTATAATGCCAGGAAAACAAGTTTTGTTTTTCTGGCACTATAGTGGTCCTTTAATTATAATCTTTTTAAATTATGTATTTTTGAATTATTTTTTTTTATTTTTTTTTATTATTTTTTTGCGAAAATTCCACTTTTCTTTTAAATATGGCTGAGAAGCCAGTTTGGTCACACAGTTACCGGACTACTGTTCATACTAATTTGACTGCTGCTGCGATTGCTCTGTGTAAAACTGCAACAACAGGCATGTTAGCAGCAGTTGGTCTGATAAATGTAGTGTCTGACCAACATGGTTTCTCAGCCAGATAGAAAAGTGACATTTTCTCAACAACAAAAAAAATGTATATAATTTAAAAATATATTAAGTTTAATTAAACATAATAAATTACACATAGATTAATCAAAGAAAATGTAATGAGCTAGCTAAGATTGCAATGGTTGATTTCTGATGTAGAATGAGGCTTCATGTTTTTTCCCAGTGGCTGTCGTATGGGGCAGATTCTAATGGCAGTGGAGTGGCTGTACTTCTAGAGCTGGCACGCCTTTTTTCTCGGCTGTATACCTACAAGCGTACACATGCCAGGTAACCTTAATGCACCTACACTCCTCACCCTCATTTTATAATTCAGAACAACATGTTCATGCTTGAATTAACTCCTACTGGTGGAATACATTACAAAAAAAAAAAGGAAAATACAATTTAATTTACTGTTGCAGTGACATGATCACATATCATCTACTTGAACAAATGTAAATATTGATGTATTTATTTCTGTTCGCACAGATTAAGAAACTAAAATGTATAGTAGGCGTGAGTTTGTCCCAACTATTTATATAGAGCACAAACCGTGACTTGACACACTTGTTATTTAGCTCTGAATTTAACTTTTATTGGACTGGATGTATAACAATGAAATCTCTTACTGCCTTTCCCGCTGCACAGTTACAATCTACTGTTCTTTGCATCAGGAGGAGGGAAGTTTAATTATCAAGGCACCAAGAGGTGGTTAGAGGATCATCTGGATCACACAGGTAAAATGGACCAAGTTTGTTTTTATGAAAGAGGGTTTCTACTTTAACAAATAAGTGAAAATGTGTTATTGATAATTCACAGGTTGCATTTAAGAGGTTGTGAATGATTGTGTCTGAAATAAGTAATGATGGGTGGGGAATAGAGGCTTTAGAGTAAGAGGTTGGAGTGATGTCAATGTCAAGCAAAAACAGTATAGTTCGGGGAACTGGTTCAGAAAGGGATGAGATCAGGAGCTATCCATGACAAAACGTCATGTAAAGTTGTGGCAAAGAATATTGTTGTAACAAGAAGTTAATAAAAATGAAATCAAGGTATAATAATATGTTGTAAAAAAGCCCAATGAGAAGTACATATGACCCTTACATGAATTCTTATACTTTAAGATTCTAGTCTCCTGCAAGACAATGTGGCATTTGTGCTGTGTCTGGACACCCTAGGAAGTGGAGACAGTCTACATCTTCATGTATCTAAACCACCAAGGGAGGGTACCTTGCAGCATACTTTCCTCAAGGAGCTGGAGATGGTAAAACAAGAGCAATGGCATATCACTAAATGATAGTTTTGACCCATAGATAAAAATTTGCCAATCCATAGAAAAATTAGATGAAATATAAAAAAAAAAAAAAAATTCCTTAAATGGCTGCATTGCATTCTACGTCTATATTTTATCATTATTAAATGTATTATGTTTACTGTTGAATATATTTGGTGTATCCATAAGGCTACTTTTGCTACTCAATTATTCTACATGACTAGCACAGAAGGAAATGCATTTTAATACGTTTTGCTTGTGTGATACATAGATCAATGTTCATCTCAATGCTAAGCATACTTGGTAGTTTATATACCATCAGGGGGCCTTAGGGGTGTGCGAGCTGTGCGGCAGCACAGGGCACCATGGAGCAGGGGGCACCATGCAGCAGGTCACAGGAGTGCAATGGGATCTGAATCATGTACCCGGGTGAAGGATTAATTATTCTCCACCCGGGACTATGAAAGAAAATTGGACAGCAGCGCAGACAGGGCTTACCGGTCGCAACATGTGTATGTGACTGACTGCCTTTAACGAGTGTGTCTGTCTGCCTATAACTGTGTGTGTGACTGCCTGTAACGGTGTGTGTGTGACTGCCTGTAACTGTGTGTGTGTGTCTGCCTGTAACTGTGTGTGTGTGTGCCTGTAACTGTGTGTGTGTGTGTGACTGCCTGTAACCGTGTGTGTGTGTGTGTAACTGCCTGTAACTGTGTGTGTGTGTGTGTAACTGTGTGTGTGTGTGTGACTGCCTGTAACTGTGTGTGTGTGTGTGACTGCCTGTAACTGTGTGTGTGTGTGTGTGTGACTGCCTGTAACTGTGTGTGTGTGTGTGACCGTCTGCCTGTAACTGTGTGTGTGACTGTCTGCCTGTAACTGTGTGTGTGTGTGTGTGACTGTCTGCCTGTAACTGAGCATGTTTGCCTGCCTGTAACTGTGTGACTTTCTGGCACTAATGACCCAAGGCCAGCCCCTTATTGCGTAGTCTCTCCCAAGTGTTTTACCCTGTCATTGTTGCCCAAAATTGTGCAGACAAACCTTTCAAACGAAAATGTAATCTTGCTGTACTCAAGGGGCCAACTCGAAATTGAGGAGTTCGATGAATTTAATAAATTTTAGGTGGAGTACAGCCACAGATTATTTGTTACCTTGTGTGACAGATCCATCTGTATAGACTGAAATTGCTGGATTCGTCTGTTTTGCCTTTTCATGAAATTACCCGTTCGTATGCCCCTGTTCCGTGAATTGACTTTAACGCCGAACAAAACTACCGAACGGACGGCCACCCAGAAGAGAAGTGTGCTGCTGGTTAACCTATTGATCCCAATTAGAACGTTGCGGTTAACCACAGACACTTCTCAATTAAAACCGAATACAGGGTGGTCGTCGTTCATATGTCGACCACGAGGCGGCGGCCATTTTAAACCATGCGAAAGACCAGCGGTGTTCGGCATTGATTTCATGGAACTGAAAACTGACACTTTTTCCGCTGAAGCCGACCTCCCTTCTCAATCGACAAAAGTGTGCGAACACCGGCGTTCGGGAGGTTTAAATGCACGAATGGACTTACCCCAGGTAGCCTTCCCATGGAGTCGCATGCCGAAAGATTGTAATAGACTTTGACTCCATGGCGATTGAACTATGCTTATGGGATCTGAGCGTTATTCGCCAATAATATGCACTCAGATACAGGCTATCTGGGGATATGTGATACGAATGGGTAACATTCAACAAATGTAAAGTTATATATTTTTATGTGATTTTCTGTGTTGAATTTAAAATGGCGATTTGCCTCTGTCCTGGAGATAATTGAATTACTTCTCAATTATCTCCAGGGAAGAGGGGAGGAAATACTAATGCATGCTGGGAATATTCTGTGTCTGTGGGTCCTAACCTGCCATGTGTCTGTCTATTGTTACAGTCTCCCATTTGGTCCCTTAGGAGAGTGTCCACCAAGTGGGAGACCTGCATAAATGTGGGCAGGTAGCCCACAGTAAAGCCAGTTCTTGTTTTACCCTTAATGCGGAGCTTGGTCTCGTTATTGGGGGGATTTATTACCGACGACTAGAAACCACTGGATGGGATTATTAGCTGCTTGGGAGATACCTGCGTTCGGCTACATTTGGCGATTCGTGAGTTTGGAGCTCGTGTAGTGAAGTGCACGTACGGATTCCATTTGTGAGTTTGCAGCGTTCCCTTGCTTGCGGTTCGCATGATTATACTGGATACGCATGCAGCCTATGTTATTGCGAAAGGGGAGCATTCACTAAACGGCGGTTTGTACATTTCATGCTTAGGGTACCGTAACAACTGGTGGCAAGCGACGGGATGACTTATCGCCCAGAGAGACCACTACAGCCAGGATTAAATGGAAATACCGTACGAAAGGCTGAAAAGGATTTATTGGAGCAGAGAGGCAGACAAGCCAATAATCTCAGGAAGAGAGAGATTATTACAATATTGAACGAAATGGATGGAGTACCAGGAGCTGAAGGAACCAATATGCCCAGTGCAGCTGACAGAACCCCCGAGGAGACAAGCTTTGACCGGGCGGTAAGGATCAGGCTGGCCCATTATGGTCCCAACCCGACTACAGAGACCATTGACCGTGTCATAGCCGCTGTGGAGGCCAACCTGCTACGCCAAAGCGGTGCTGCAGCAGCCCCAGTACCAGCAAACCCGGTGGAGAAAAGAAAGGTACCATTTACAGCATTTAAATCCTTTGTGGAGACAGAAGGAGAGATTGATGGGTACCTTGCTGATTTTGAGCCAGTGACGCTTTTCGGGCCATTCCAGATGAGGAGATTGGATATTATGCAGCAGTGAAGGAAGCTTTGCTCTCCAGGTATGCCGTTACACCGGAGGCATACAGGAGGCGATTCAGAGACACTGCCAAAGCAGCTGGAGATTCGTATGTGGAATGGGCATGCAGAGTACACCGCACAGCTGCCCACTGGATGGCAGCAGGGTGCCAAGCCGTATCCGGGGAAGAAGTGCTGCAGGTGTTCTTACTGGAGCACTGTTTTGAGAAGTTATCCCCAGGCGTCAGAGAGTGGGTAAGGGACCGTAAACCCTCCACTCTACATGAAGCAGCTTGCCTGGCAGACGAGTATACGGATGCCCGTAAACTGGACAGTGCCATGGGTAAGACTCCTGCCAGAGTGGAGTATCGCCAAGCAGCACCCGCCCCAGCTACCGTATACCAACCACCGACGCATCGACCATCCGCACCCCCTCCTGGTAATTATCACCAGCCACCCCGGTTCAACTCCCAGGACTACTCCCAACCTATCCGTTGCTTTGGGTGCAAGCAGTTTGGGCACAAACTACCAGTGTGCCCGCTGAATAATGCCAACCGGGACCAGTCCTGGAGGAGACCGACCAACGGCCCACTCAGCCTGCTGCCCACTGCGTAGAGGAGGAGGAATGTTGGGGCGTCCTACATGAGGCAGACCCTGTTCAAGCTGCCCACCGAGATAACTGCAAACAGCACCGGCAGCTGGTAAAAGTAAACGGGAAGGAAGTCAGTGGTCTGCTCCCATGGGTCCCGCTGAAGTGGACGCTGCCACGACCCGTGCCGCCAAGACCGGCCCACCTGCTGATGAGACCCAGGTGAGACTCTCTACCCCGACTTGTACCTTAGACCAGGCCCCTTTAGGTTGGGATACCCCAGAGATGTACGGGAAGGAAACCCGGGAGGACCCAACCCTAGAAAAGTATAGAGCCAGGGCAGATACTGGGGGTGAGGGGGTTGATGGGGAGCGTTACGAGTGGTTGGGGGATAGGCTATATAGGATCCCTAAACCTTCCCAGAGACAGAGTACCCCTCCGCAGAATCGGCAGCTGGTGGTGCCTGCGAAATACCGGCAGGAGGTTCTGCGGATTGGGCATGATGTGCCATTAGCGGGCCATCTAGGCTCCCGCCGCACAGCTCATAGAATAACCCAAAATTTCTTCTGGCCTAATTTCAACCGAGATGTGCGGGTATATTGTAGCACGTGTGACACATGTCAACGGGTAGGTAAACGGAGGATCACCTAAAGGCTAGGCTCATATCGATGCCAATCATTGGAGAACCCTTTTCCCGCATAGCCGTTGACATTGTGGGTCCACTAGCCAGGGCTAGCCCATCCGGTAAGAAGTATATTCTCACCGTGGTGGAATATGCCACACGTTACCCAGAGGCAGTAGCGCTGTCCAATATAGAGGCAGAGACGGTTGCTGATGCCCTGGTTAAAATTTTCACTAGGGTCGGGTTCCCTCAGGAGATCCTCTCCGACCAGGGAACTCAGTTTACCGCTGTGCTCACCCAGCAGCTGTGGAAGGTGTGCGGCATTAAACCGCTGCTTAGCTCACCTTACCACCCACAGACTAACGGTCTCTGCAAGCGATTTAATGGCACCCTCAAACAGATGTTGAGGACCTTTACTGACACTTGCAGAGACTGGGAGCGATTCCTGCCTCATCTGCTATTTGCATACAGAGAGGTGCCCCAGGAATCTACTGGGTTCTCTCCCTTTGAGCTACTCTATGGGAGAAGGGTCCGCGGACCCCTAGATCTCATTAGAGGACACTGGGAGGGAGAGACAGAGCAAGAGGAAACCCCCATAGTGCCATACGTTCTGGAACGCCGGGACCGCATGGAGAAACTATCCCTGATGGTAAAGGAGAATCTCCAGGCGGCCCAGGGGAGACAGAAGAGGTGGTACGATCGGGGTGCCCGACAGCAGGTCTTTCAGGTTGGGCAAAAGGTTCTAGTGCTCAAGCCTGTGAAGACGAACAAGATGCAAGCATCTTGGCAGGGCCCGTATAAAGTGTTAGCTCAGGTGTGTGATACTACTTATCTTATAAGCCAGCTGTACAGATGAAAGGATTCAGCGATCCTTTCATGTGAACATGCTGAAGGAGTATCAGGAGAGACCAGAGGATGTCGCTACAGTATGTGCCCCGGCTGCCGACGACCCCGAGAATTTACCCTTGCCCAACTTATTAGAGAAGGACCCCCAGACTGACCTCACTAGTCTTGTACAGCTACGGGACAGGTTAAGCCCCACAGAGAAGGTACAAGCAAGACAGCTTCTGTGGGAGAAGCAGGCGATGTTCTCCCAAGAACCCGGCTACACTACCCTAGCTGTACACAAGGTCGAGACCCCCGGAAAGAGTCCCCTATGACAGCCCCCCTATCGTATCCCTGAAGCAGTCCGGGAAGGAGATACAGGAGATGACCAAGCTTGGCGTCATCGAGCACTCAGACAGCCCTTGGGCCTCGCCTGTAGTCCTGGTGCCTAAGAAAGATGGGACCACCCGGTTCTGTGTGGACTACAGGCAGCTCAACGAGCGGACCACCACTGACACGTACCTGATGCCCCTACCTGGATGACATTGCGGTCTACAGTGAGTCCTGGGAAGAACACCTGGTACACGTAGGGGTGGTTCTGGACAAGATTCGGGCCGCTGGCCTGACCTTGAAGCCAGACAAGTGCCATCTAGGCATGGCAGAAGTACAGTACTTGGGTCACAGGGTAGGATGTGGGAGCCAGAGCCAGCCAAGGTAGAAGCTGTAGCTAACTGGCCCACACCTATCACCAAGACCCAAGTGCTGGCCTTCCTGGGAACAGCAGGGTATTACCGACGCTTTGTCCCCGACTACAGCAACGTTGCTAAACCCCTGATTGACCTGACCAAGAAGAATTTACCTAAGCAGGTCCTGTGGTCTCCAGCTTGTGAAGCCGCGTTTCAGGCACTTAAGCAGGCTCTTGTAAATGCCCCTGTCCTGGCTGCCCCAGTACCTAACAAACGTTTTCTCGTCCATACAGATGCTTCCATGTATGGACTGGGGGCTGTGCTGAGCCAGAGCACCCTGTCGCATATCTCAGCAGAAAGCTACTACCCCGGGAAGTGAGTTATGCGGCAGTGGAGGAGTGTTTAGCCCTGGTCTGGGCATTAAAGAAATTGAGCCCTTATTTGTACGGGCAGGAGTTCTCCCTTATCACAGACCACAATCCCCTTGTCTGGCTTAACCGGGTCTCAGGAAACAATGGTAGACTGCTGAGGTGGAGTTTGGCGCTGCAACCTTACAACTTCACCATCAGCTACCGACCCGGTAAGCAGAATGGGAATGCAGATGGATTGTCCCGGCAAACAGACGTCCCTAGTACCTCCTAGTCCGGTCATCCCCAAGTTGACCCGCCACAGGGTCAAGCCGGGTCTGCCGGAGTGTTCCACAAGTGGGGAGCCGTGTGACAGATCCATCTATATAGACTGAGATTGCTGGATTCGTCTGTTTTGCCTTTTCGTGAAATTACCCCTTCGTATGCCCCTGTTCAGTGAATTTACTTTTTACCAAACAAAACTGTCGAACGGACGGCCACCCAGAAGAGAAGTGTGCTGCTGGTTAACCTATTGATCCCAATTAGAACGTTGCAGTTAACCAGACGCTTCTCAATTAAAACCGAATACAGGGTGGTCGTCGTTCGTATGTTGACCACGAGGCGGCGGCCATTTTAAACCATGCGAAAGACCAGCGTTGTTCGGCATTGATTTCATGGAACTGAAAACGGACACTTTTTTCAGCCGAACACCGCTGAAGCCGCCGACCTCCCTTCTCAATCGACAGAAGTGGGCGAACACCGGCCGTTCGGGAGGTTTAAATGCACGAATGGACTTACCCCAGATAGCCTTCCCATGGAGTCAATCGCATGCCGAAAGACTGTAATAGACTTTGACTCCATGGCGATTGAACTATGCGTATGGGATCTGAGCGCTATTCGCCAATAATATGCACTCAGATCCAGACTATCTGGGGATATGTGATACGAATGGGAAATGTTCGACAATTGTAAAGTTATATATTTTTATGTGGTTTTTTTGTGTTGAATTTAAAATGGCGATTTGCCTCTGTTCTGGAGATAATTGAATTACTTCTCAATTATCTCCAGGGCAGAGGGGAGGAAATACTAATGCATGCTGGGAATATTTTGTGTCTGTGGGTCCTAACCTGCCATATGTCTGTCTATTGTTACAGTCTCCCATTTGGTCCCCTTGGAGAGTGTCCACCAAGTGGGAGACCTGCATAAATACGGGCAGGTAGCCCACAGTAAAACCAGTTCTTGTTTTACCTTAAAAGCGGAGCTTGGTCTCGTTATTGGGGGGATTTATTACCGACGACTAGAGACTGCTGGATGGGATTATTAGCCGCTTGGGAGATACCTGCGTTCGGCTAATATTGGCCATTCGTGAGTTTGGAGCTCGTGGAGTGAAGTGCCCGTACGGATCCCGTTCGTGAGTTTGCAGCGTTCCCTTGCTTGCGGTTCATATGATTATACTGGATACGCATGCAGCCTATTTTATTGCAAAAGGGGAGCATTCACTAAACGGCGGTTTGTACATTTCATGCTGAGGGTACCGTAACACCTTGTACTCCTAGAATATGATATCTGCTTGCTGTGTTTTTTCACCCACATAGTTTCCATCTAGATGTTACAGTAGATTTGAACTGCTGCAAGAATGAATGGAGAACTTATTAGAAATGTAACTTAATAATTCAGTGATGGTTATTTAAATTTGCTGGTGAGGACTCGTGGTTGAATGCTTTAAATGCATATCAATTGTATTTTTTTTTATACCTGGTTCTACAGGTTCAGTTTATCACTAGTTTATCTCATGCTACTGTGTCTGTTAAAATACACATTATTTCTTAAATTAGGTGATTGCTACCCAATTCCCTGAAGTGAAGTTCTCCATGGTTCACAAGAAGATAAATCTGGCTGAGGACACGTTGGCTTGGGAACATGAACGTTTTGCTATTCGCCGACTTCCAGCCTTTACTGTCTCTCATCTTGATAGCCATCGCAATGGTTACCGCAACAGTGTCCTAGATTTAAGGTGAGCCAGAATGAGTAGTCTTGCACATCCTTGATCATTTTGACAAGTGCATATGGAGTGAGTGGTGAGTTCACACATTAATCATACAGCTGAAGTAGAAATACAAAACCAAAGTCTTGTTTTAGTACAAAATCATTACAATGGAGTTAACTTGTGAGACATGTTTAGAAGAATGATTGAGTGAAACATAAAGGAGATTGCATAAATTTACAATAGTTTTTCAGTTTATTGAGCAGAAAACTGGGCTAAAGACAGTGTGGGTCTCTTATATTTATTGGAATATGTGTACACAGTCCATATGCTCTTGTGAATGTAGTAGATGCCTCATAATTTTTTGAGTTCCTTTGTATCTTGCACTGTGAAAGCAAAGTCATTTTATGCACTGCAGGTGGAAAGTAGACACTGAGATTCTGTCCAGAAACACACGTATTCTGGCTGAAGCATTGACCAGAGTTGTATATAACCTCACAGAAAAGGTAAGAGTTGTATTTTTTGTTTTTGGTGTTGTATTTTTGTTTATAATGCTCACCACTTTACTCTCCTTCCCTGCTAGTGTGCACATTTATTTATTCCATTGTTTGTTTTGTAAATACATACTGTTTTCTTTTCTTTTACTCAGGGTGCTCCAACTGAAATGCAGATCTTCACACAGCAAATGGTAAAATTAATAAGGATAACAAGTTGGGCAATCATGGGGATTATGTGAGCAATCTTGATGATTTGATTGTTTTTTTTTTTTTTATGGGATTAATAGAGTATGGAAGAGGCAGGTGAACTGATGTTGAAAGTTATCCTTACTGACTGTTCACTGAATGTCAGTAGCTCTGTCATCCTCTAGGGTGTGATGGTAGAGGCGAGTTCTACTTACCTGATTGTTACCCCAATATTTGCCATCTAATCTTAGGTTCCTGATGCCAGGACCCCACAGCAATTCTGTGCTATCATGCATATGTGAGAGTACAGCACTTGCTTATCTATGGAGGAAGCCGCAAGACCCGTGGGCTCCTTCATTTGATTGTCTTGCAATGAGTGAGACAATGTATTATTCCTACAGCTGGAAGAAAGTATAGAACTTGACAGCAAAAGGTCTGCCTTTTTTTTTTTTTAACCCCTTAAGGACGGGTGACGGACGAGGTCCGTCATCCAGGGGAGACCCTTAACGACGGGTGACGGACCTTGTCCGTCACGCGGTAAAATTAACCCCAGATCGCGGAGTTAATGGTGCTCTGGTCTGCCTCTGTATTAGAGGCACACCGGGAGCACCCGATAGTGTTGCCCCAACAGGGTTTCAGAGCGAGCACATGGGCTGCATGTACTCCCCTTAAAACTTAAAAGTTAGAAAAAAACTGGCTGTGTCTCAAATGTGCCCCTTTAAAATCCACATATACATGGCAAAGGTACATACGGGGGTATTGCTGCGCTCAGACGACATAGCTGAGCAACATATGTAGTATTATACAGTCATAGCACACATAAGGTTTGCAAAATATATTGTGCAAACTAACTGTGTGTGTCAAAAAGGCAGAAAAAACACTTATTACCACTACACTTGGTACAAGCTAGCGGAAAAATGATTCCACGCTAAGGTTCAAAATATGCCTTTTGAAATACCCTGGGATGTGTTCTTTAAGAAATGGTATGACTTTATGGTGTAGTTGTAATATGTAGCCTGCTCAAGTGCTCCAAAGTGGAACACGGACGCATAAAAACAGTCTATGAAAATTTACACTTTAAAAACCTGAACTTGTCACGTCTCTTTTACAGCACTGTAACTTCACAAAATAGTGTCTAGGTCATACATTGGGCATATTGTTTTACTCAGAAGACTTAGCTGAGCATAATTTGGGGGGTTTGAACTTAGTGGCACATATGAAATATACAAAATGCCCAGCAAAACTGTAATCCGTATGTAAAAAAAAAAAAAAATGCCCAAAATTATTTTTTACCTCCTAATTTGGCAAAAATTGGTGAAAAAATGGGGGCATGTTAAGGCACAATATGCACCATATGAGAGACCCTGGAGTGTCTACTTTTACTGGAGTGTCTACTTTTACAAATGGTAGGCCTTTGTGGGGGTTTTTTGAACAGTCAAACTGCTATAATACCCTAAATTGAAGCATAGGTCATTAAAGGGACACTATAGTCACCTGAACAACTTTAGCTTAATGAAGCAGTTTTGGTGTATAGAACATGCTCCTGCAGCCTCACTGCTCAATCCTCTTCCATTTAGGAGTTAAATCCTGTAACGGATCACCTGGCACCCCGACCGGGTACCTCCGTTGAAGGATGCTCCTAGCGCTTCTTGAGGACTCCAAGCACTCTGGCAGACACCACAATCACCGAACCGGAGAAACAAATAAATTCTCCCAAACATATGAATGCTGTATACAGTTGAACAGGAACCATACGAATAGGTTTACTCTCCTAGCAGTCAAACTGGAACAGCATACAATAAATCCTCCCCCAATAATGAGACGACACTTCACTTTTAGGGTTAAGCAGGAACTGTTGTGCTGGCACACCCAGCCTGGTTTTTATTACAGCCTTTCACATACAGGACCGCCCACAGGGAGGTATAAAACAACCAATCACATATAAGTTACATCCCACATATTCCCTCCCCTTATCCTGAGAGGAAACTCAATTACACATACAGTTAAAACATACTTTCTACCCAACTTTCATAACTTTAAAACAATACATCACATTCACATACAATTACATATTCACGGTTTCGCCACAAATCCCTTTGTTTATGAACCCTAGTTACACCTCCCTGCATGTGACTTGCACAGCCTTCCATAAACACTTCCTGTAAAGAGTACAGTATTTAGTTAAGATTCTGTTTAATTAAGATTTTCTTATCCCCTGCTATGTTAATAGCTTGCTAGACCCTGCAAGAGCCTCCTGTAAGTGATTTAAAGTTCAATTTAGAGATTGATATACAATTATTTAAGGTAAATTACCTCTGTTTGAAAGTGAAACCAGTTTTGTTTTTTTCATGCAGGCTCTGTCAATCATTGCCAGGGGAGGTGTGGCTAGGGCTGCATAAACAGAAACAAAGTGATTTAACTCCTAAATGACAGTGAATTGAGCAGTGAAATTGCAGGGGAATGATCTATACACTAAAACTGCTTTATTTAGCTAAAGTAATTTAGGTGACTATAGTGTTCCTTTAACCCCGTAAGGACCAAACTAATGGAATAAAAGGGAATCATGACATGTCACACATTAAGTGGTTAAATCTGTCTCTCAAAATTCTACTGTAAATACATTATATATATATATATATAATTTGTGTGTGTGTATATGTTACATCAAATTAAAGCCCTTTCTGTTCTTTAAAAAACAAAACAAAAAAACAGTAAATAATATGTGTCGGTGCAATAAACGAGAGAGATGCAAATTGCAGTTGAACGCAAACAGCAAGAAAATGCAAAAATTGTTTGTGTCATTAAGCCTAAGACAAGCTTCTGAAGCTGTGTCCTTAAGGGGTTAAGATTTGGCAACTTGAGACTTTACCAAAAGACAAAGTCCATAATTTGTCTTGTATCTTTTGACTATGTTGCAATTTGAATTCAATTCCCATGGAGTCTTAAAGGGTTATTCAGGAGGGGGGGCCATTTTGGTGTAAAATGCCCTTTTTGGCACTATGAATAAAGCTGCAAATAAGCTATTTTATTTACTTTGAGTCCAGCGTCGCTGTCTTTTTAGAGAGGAGGAAGAAGGGTCTTATTTTTTCAAAACTGTGAAATCGAGGGAGCACCCAGTGGAGGAGAAAGCTATTTTCACATTGCAGGAGCTGTGCCTACCCCCTCTATCGTGTGTGCTGACGACAGACATAAAATATGCGTCTCGTGCTGGAGGTGCAACTAACCCCAGGCACACCATTAACAATAACTCTGTAAGACTAGTGTTTCAAGTAGAACCACTGCAAATACATATTCCTACCACCATGACCACTTCAAATCAATTGGAGTAACTCTTTAATAAGAATGCTGTTTTTCCAGCCCACCTGGGCCATGTGATCGTTAGGTCCATGCGAGGACCTCACGATCACATAGATGGCATAGCCATCCATAGCAGTGCCAGCAGGGGGAGTACCTGGAGTCCCCCTGCTGCCTGAAAAAAGTTAAAATAAAGAATTAAAAACAGTTTAGAATAAAATAAATGTCAATACGCAAAAATAAAAAATAATTTTAAAAAAGTGTAATTTCGTTTTAACTGTATTTTAATAATATATGTACACGTTCTACACGTAGAACAATTTTTATTTTTTTTTATATATATATATATATATATATATATCTAAATACATAAGTATATATGTATATATTTATGTAATATTTTACATAATTAGATCATTTTATTAATTACAATTTGTGGGAACTGCCTGACTACCCAGGCCAAAAGTCCAGGGAATTTAATTTGCTTGCACTATATTTAACCCTGTAACTTTCCAAGACGCCATAAAACATGTACATGGGGGGTACTGTTTTACTAAGGAGACTACGCTGAACACAAATATTAGTGTTTCAAAACCGTAAAATGTATTACAACGATGATATCAAGTGACATTTTTTGCATTTTTCACACACAAATGGCACTTACACTGACGATATAATTGTTGTGATAAGTGTTACTGTTTTGAAACACTAATATTTGTGTTCAGCGAAGACTCCCGAGTAAAACAGTACCCCCTGTGTACAGGGGTACTACTACTTGCCAGTATCTTTAATATCTAGTTTTGTGGAGTTATTGAAAAACCTAAAGCTTTGGACCGATTTGTGAAACCGTGCTTGTTGTAATGTAAACAAATATGCTCTGAGCTAACCTAGACTTGCACGTTATCCTATCAGGCTCTGACCTTTCTTGAACTGTACTATAATTGGTTGAGAGTTAAAGCCAAAATCCTAGACACTGAGGATCAATATTTGACCCAAGTTAAATCAGGATGGCTGCTCTGCGTGGAGGAGTGGAGCTTACAGAGTCGCAGAGTTCCTTTTCCAAACAATTTAGTTTTTCTAACACACTTAGGTTTCCTAAATTGTTTGGGTTTACCTGGCCTCAGATCACCAGGTAAGCCAGATAATTTTGGAAGTGCAGCAACGTACTCTGGTATTTTTCGGTCACTGGTGTTCACATTTATGAACAAAGAGGGGATTGATCGGATTGACTTTGTTTTACCTTTTGATATAACCATGTTTAGGCGATAGTCCATTTCTTTGTTTTATGCTTTATTAACATTTCAAGGACATTGTTCATACTTTGTTTTTCCTAGCAAACTCATTTTTGGCTACGCAGCAAATAACTGAGAAATCACAAGCTTCTAACAGAGATAATGTAATACCAGTTAGTTAAAGATGGGCTGGATTTGTGGCCCCCAAAATGTAGTGCTTTGAAAATGTGTTCACTTTTGATTGATACCAAGTTACATCACGCCTTTAGACATGAATACACTTTATTTTGTTGCTATGCATTAAAATCTTGGACAATTCTTTATGAACCATTCAAGTGTGTGGTGTCGTTCATGAAAATGGGGGTAATTCACATGTAAAAAATACAGAGAAAAAACGAGGGAAAAATAAACCTAATTTGGCAAAAAAGAAGCTCAAAAACTGGATAAAATAGGAATCCACCAAACACCTATTAAAACAATAGTAAGAGTATATTCTGCTTGGAAAAGCAGCAGTAGGGATCCAGGAGCTTCTACACTGACGTCCAAAATAGTATATGTGATATACTCAGATGAATAAACAAAGTGTGTGGCAAGGTTATCAGTCCAAAAAGATACAGCTCATTGGTAGAGATAACCACTGCCTAAATGATTTACTTCCATACACAATAAGAGTATAAAAGATAAATTGGCATAATCCTCCTCGGATATATATATATTGCCAACATACATATAGTGATAAATAATAAGCAAGCACCAGTATATGGAACTGGCTGCTAAGAAAAATGATTATAGTATAGCCGGAGAGTAGCTAAAAAAGGGTTAAAACCCAATTTATTAAAAGTACATAAATATATGAAAATGGTGATAAAATTCTGTTCACATATTGTGCAATAGATAGTAGAAGGTAAAAAATGCACAGAGACCTTTGATTACGGCACGGATGGATCTGGATGCTGATTTCAGGTATAGTAGCTGAATGCTGTAACCGGTGAGGCCGGTTTGCGTGTCACAGTGCGTTCCACCTCGAGCCTCACTTCGGGGGGAACTGCACTGCTCGTCAGATCGTGCCGTGGAGAAGGCTAGGCTTCACACTGATCGCCGGACTACTGTGCTGGAACCTCTTCTTGCTATCGCTGTGTGAACGTCTCCGGCTATACTATAATAATTTTTCTTAGCAGCCAGTTCCGTATACTGGTGCTTGCTTATTATTTATCACAATATGTATGTTGGCAATATATATATATCCGAGGAGGATTATGCCAATTTATCTTTTATACTCTTATTGTGTATGGAAGTAAATCATTTAGGCAGTGGTTATCTCTACCAATGAGCTGTATCTTTTTGGACTGATAACCTTGCCACACACTTTGTTTATTCATCTGAGTATATCACATATATTATTTTGGACGTCAGTGTAGAAGCTCCTGGATCCCTACTGCTGCTTTTCCAAGCAGAATATACTCTTACTGGTGTCGTTCATGTTTGGGCTTATGCACTGCATAAGGGTTCGAGTAAAAGAAGAGATATCTGAATTGAAGTCCATGGCCATCTGGTGAATTGTATACGAGTGTCTTTACCACTGAAAATCATTTTTTACATGCTGTATGCAGAGGAAATTAGACCTGCAAATCTATGAAAGTTAAATTATTTTTTGGGTAGTGATTGTGTGCCCTGTGTTTCTGCAGAAAGTCCAGAAGGAGCAGCTTGATGCAGTATTACACTGGCTGACCAGCCAGCCACGTGCTGCACAGCTGGTGGATAAGGATAGCAGTTTGCTTACCACTCTAGAGTATTACATGAGCCGATACCTGAAAGATGTGAAGCTCTATCATGTGAAAGCAGACAAACGGTAAGCTTAGCGTTTGTTTGTTTGTGCCTATTGGTGGATCAATTATTTATTGTTTTTGTAAATACCTTTGTTGGTTGCACATCACAATTAAAAAAAAATAAAAAAAAAAATATATATATATATATATATATATATATATATATATATATATATATATATATATATATATATATATATATATATATATATATATATATATACTTTAAATTTTTTATTTATTTATTTATTATTTATTTTTTTCTGCAGAGATCCAGAATTTGTGTTTTATGATCAGCTGAAGCAAGTAATGAATGCATACAGGTAATTGCAAATGTGACCTACAAAGATATGCTTTTGTTTTATATTTCTTCAAATATAGTGCATCTTACGCAATCCCAGGACATTTAAATTGGTGTTACTGCAGGCGGTATTGTTTCTCTGATTTGTTAATAATAATTTATCTCTTTATCTTGTTACAGAGTGAAGCCAGCCATATTTGACCTTCTTCTAGCTGTATGCATTGCTGTCTACCTGGGTTTGTCCTATATTGCTGTTCAGGTACGGACAGGGAATAGAAAATTCATCTCCCAGCTTCCTCCCCATTTTCCACACACCCTTATTCCCAAAACCCCATGAGTTACACACACAATTTGTGACTAATGTTCATTGTTAGAATTCCCTCTAACAAGGCACATGTGGTCCTTAGTCACCCATCTGTTAGTTAGATGTATGGCAAGACTTGGCATTCCAGTTAGTTCCCATCAGCTTAATTTCCTATATGATACAAGTCTTACCTCCATCCTTGCAGTTGTTCCGAAAACTAGAGCAGGCAAGTATCTAGTCATCCTTCTATTGGGCCAATAAGCATAGTCTGGAGAGCCACATGGTCAGTTACAGAATGCTTCTGTCTTATAGAAAAGTCACCTCTCATACATTTACCTCTTGTGTCTAGTGGAGAATTTTTTTTATTTTAAGGCAGCAGTGTTTGTTTTTATATATTGATTATATAAATACTGTGTATGTGTATATATATATATATATATATATGTGTGTGTGTGTATATATGTGTATGTGTGTGTGTATATATATATATATATGTGTGTGTGTGTCTCTCTATTAGATAAATACATTTGCTTATAAGATTGATTAGTCCTATGGTTCTTAAAGAGATTCTATAGTGCCAGGAAAACAAAGCCATTTTCCTGGCCCTATAGAATTCTAATGGCCCCCCCTCCCACGGCCCTGAAGCGGTTAAAACCCCTTCAGTCACTTACCTGAATCCAGCGCCGATGTCTTAGTTAGGCTCTGCCCACGTCAGCCGGCAATGGCCGTGTTGACATTAGGATTTTCCCATAGGAAAGCATTGAATAATGCTTTCCTATGGGGGAAAATATCTGATGCTGGAGGTCTTCATGCAGAGCGTGAGGATGTCCAGCGTCAGATACCAGACCAAAGGTCCGTTTCAAACCAGGAATTCCCTCTAGTGGCTGTCTGGTAGACAGCCACTAGAGGTGGTGTTAACCCTGCATAGTAATTATTGCAGTATCTCAATAACTACAATAATTACTATTGCAGGGTTAAGGAACATGGGACATTGCACCCAGACTGCTTCAATGAGCTGAAGTGGTCTGGGTGCCTACAGTGTCCCTTTAAGTTGGGTAATCTGGTTCTCTTGTTGAAGCTGCCTAGTAAAATATGTTTGTAAGTTTACAATTCTACATTAAAAATCTCCAAGTATTCACTCCTGAAGTGTTCAAATTTGAAATGCACTGTATTTTTTTAATCATCTGTTATATTTTTTTATTTTTTTGCCATCTTGGTATCACACTACAGGAAATTGGGCAACACCTGTTTCCTGTTCTACTCCAGGTAGGAAGAAAACTTTTTTTTTTTTTTTCTCTACAAGGCAGATTTTATTTTTCTGTCCTCTTCTAGATTACAGTTTTAAACTCCTGGGAAGCAATAATTAATGGGATAAGCAGTTTAGCACTGCCATCAGTTTCATTCATGAAATTGCCAACAAAACTGTATGAAACCACAGCTGACTTCTCGCTACTTGAAGAACACTAGTGTTTTAAGCAAGCCTATAGATCAAAAGTGGACGCAGACCTGTCCAAATTTATACGCCTGCTGATGCAGGTTGTCATCCAGCTGAAGTTTTCACTGCTGTTTCTAGAACCATGAAAAGAGTGCTTAAAGATCTAAATGCTACTGTGGATACAGATATTAAGAGCCAAGATTGAAAATGCAGTCTGGAGTCTCCAGGTTACAAGTGACTTCTTCCTTAGATGTAACTAGGATATTCTCTCGAACAAATGGCTTTATATACAGCAATTGAGAAAGCTTTTGATGAATCCATTAAAAGGCAGCTGAGGGCTGCAAGGATTTGGGGTTTTCATGAGCTGTAAGCCATATTCATCACACTTGTGACAAATCACAGCTTGAACTATCTTGCTTTTCATGTAATGAGTCTATCTCCTATATTAGTTTCCCCTTTTACATTGCATTACTGAAATAAAAGAACTTTTTCACGATATTCTAATTTTCCGAGTATCACCTGTATGTACCCCAGGACTGAAGATCCAAGAATCTGGCTCCTCGGAGTCAGACAGGAGAACCTCCCGTGACCAGTATTTCTGAGATACATGGAATTACTGAGGTAATTACTCCAGAGGTAACTCGAAGCAGTTGGTAACCTGCCTTTCAAGTTTCTAATAGAGCTATGAAGTAGTCATTTTACTCTTCAGCAATGAACTTGTGTCTGTCCTCCAGTACTAGGAGCCTTATTTTTTCTGATCAGACATACCTGGGCTTGTCACATTCTGGAGACTTGGGTGGTATCCATAGTCCAGATAGATATAGACAGGAGTTTTTTCTTCAGACACAGGAGTCTCTATACCAACAAGAGAATTCAGACAGATGACTCAAAGGTATAGCACCGAAGGAGTATGTATGAAACCTTCTGGACCAAGATGTAAGTACCTGGGACAATGTTTGCCTCTCTTCTGATGCTAAAAGTAAAGGCACAATGAAGTCTATATGGGACCTAAGAAGGGCCAACAATAGGCTGAATGACAGAGCCTTCGGGATGGAGTCAATCAGATCCATATCTCCAGCAATTTGGAAGGACAAGTTCCTTATCTCTATATCTCAAGGATGCTTACTATCATTCCAATTGGCCTAGATCTTCAGCATTATCTCAGAAGAGAACTTCCAATTCGTGCCCTACTATTTGGACTCACTGCAGCCCCAAGAACCTTGTGTGCTTATAGTGACATTGAGAGTCCAGAACACCACCTGGTTCCATTATCTGGATGATCTACTACTGGTAGCATCAGACCCACAGAAGGCAGGCGCACAGAGGGATAGTTCTTTCAGAACGCCTGAAGTTTGGCTGCTTAATGAATACCAAAAAGTGCAGTCTCACTCAGGATGACCTTTCTGGGTGGAGTATTCTATACTCTGCTTTCCCCTATCCCAGGAACAGTTCCACAGCTGATGGAAGTTTTTTTTTTCTTCCAGTTTCTTCATTTTCACTTGGTAACAGCAAGAAAGTGGATGCAACTACTAGGAATCCTGGCTTCCACCATCAGACTTGTCAGATGGGCTCAATAGCATCTCAGGATTCCGCAAAGGTCCTTCCTATCTCAGTTCAACAAGAGAAAGATGAATTGGAGTCAGCCACTGACAATGTCATCATCAGTGGAGTTACACCTTACTTCGTAGCTGAAGGAGAGAATGTGTCTCTGGGTGCCCTATGACCAGAACTTCACTGGGCAATTGTAAGATCAGATTCTAGTTTTCAAGTATTGGATACACATTGTCTGGACCATGTTACGCAAGGTCTGTGGATAATATTAATAATATTTCCATCCAAGGTTATGGAATGTCCTTTTCAGGGCTCTTCTTCACTTCGGAAGGTTGCTGAAGAACAAGTGGTTCCGTATTTGCTCAAATATCAATGCAAATGTATCCTATATCAATCGTCAAGGTGGGTCTCATAGCCACTTATTGATGAAGCAGTTACAGCCCATGATGAGCAGGGCACAGGAGAACAACCATGGGCACAGAATACAATGGCTGATAACCTGAGCCAAGTAACAATGGTCAAGGTGGAATGGCAACTTTGTCCCGACATATCCTCAGGGTTGACTCAGATTTGGCTGATACCCTATGTAGATCTGATAGCCACTTTTCGGAACTACTTCCTTCAACCTCTTTCACATTTGGGACACAACTGTTATGCAGTGTTGAACAAAATAATGAACTATGAAAGATCATGTGAGGTAGGATGTTCTTCCACGGGTATTCTCGGATGTGCAGAGAAGCCACTGTAAGTCTAGATGGATGACTGTAACATTTGTTTTTAGTCTGCTCTGTGTTCCCCTTCCTTCCTTCTATCTCCTATGAGTTTGTAATTCCAATTTAGCTAAATGTGACTAATATAGCCAGCGTTGCTTCATATCCATCTGTAGGGGCCGTGCCATTATGGCAGATACAGTTTATTCTTTCTGCCTGTAGGAGGTTGTTTTCTGTAGTGTGCTACCATTCCATGGTAATAATGAGAAGAAATTAACCGTTAATCTTTGTGGTCATATTTATCTGTTTTTCATTTATTTTCTTTTTTTATTCAACTTAACTTAAACAAGTAAGACATAATGTGGCTGCAGTTGTCCAGCTGGCGGCCATCACACTAAACGTGTATCCCAAGAACAACTTAGGCTCTTTTTCTTATTACACTGCCCATTTACTAAAGTCGGGCCAACCTATGTGTGAATCTTAAACTTATATGGCCAGCCTATTCAAATTTGCACCAAGTTTTGTTTTGATTTTTTTTTTTTTTTGTTTCGTTACAAGCTTGCACAAAAAAGTGTCATACAAGTGATAGCTGTAAAGCAGGTAATTGCAGATGTTCACTGTCCCTCATTTTATTTTCATTCATTTAAGGAGATCCGTGGTTTTTTTTTTTTTTTTTTTTCTTAATTACTCACTCTTCTGGCAAATGATTATAAAACATGGCTATGATTGACAGAGCCTGCATGGAAAAAAAACTGGGTTCACTTTCAAACAGATGTAATTTACCTTAAATAATTGTATCTCAATCTCTAAATTGAACTTTAATCACACACAGGAGGCTCTTGCAGGGTCTAGCAAACATGGGGGCATGTTCTGTACACAAAAACTGCTTCATTAAGGTGACTATAGTGTCCCTTTAACTGCAGATCTGTGTATCTAACCAGAACATGCTTTTATCTCCTCTTTAATATCTAGTTAGTGATAATGTCAATATAAAGAAAAGTTAAATAGGCAGTTTTGGTATATAATTTACTATTTGAAAATCACTTTATTTCAGTTTATCATATGAAAAATATTTATTTAGCTGTATTATACATTCCGAATTTTTGTGTCCACTTATTTCGACATTCGATTAGACTGGCGTTTTAACCTGCTGCTCGCAAGTGGTTTTTTTTTGGTTTTTTTTAATATTGGTTTTTCAAATACAGTATTTTTAGATTGATATTAAAGTGTATTTCACATACAGGTCTTTTATATTGCTCGTCTAGGATTTGTATTTTGGACTGTGAAAAGAAATTCCAATCTAAGGTTACCTGAATGCTGTAAATACATTCCCTAATTAGAAAATTACCTGCTGTGGTATCATTATTTTAAATCATATTTCAAGAGAATTTAAAGCAACATTTTTTGTGGTTTTTTTTTTTAAAACCTTTTATTTTATTAAGTTAACTGCAATTACCAAGCCTTCAGTACAATTTTTTTTTTTTTTTTATATACAGGTGTTCTATGACACGAAAACTCTTCTATATAGAGTTGTGTTTACTCCTTACACTTATGGTTCAAATGTGTTCAGACATAAAATAGCATTGTTTGGTTTAGATAATGATTTTTACAATACCCATTTCTTGTTGTTTATTATTTTTGATCTCTCTAGAACTTTGGCATCCTTTACAAGCTTGTGCAGAGAGTTTCTTGGAAGCCCAAACAGCAATGAGGCCATTGATTCTTCCGATTATGAACATCGCACGTGGAGCCGTGGAACACCTTTGAATTGCAGGGGATGGGGCTCCCATTATTGCCTTCATTATCCACACAGGACAAAGTGAACCTTGACATGACTTCTCCAAACATCGCATGGATCACAACTACAGGATCAAGCTTTCCAGTAATGAGGTGCTTTGGAGAGAATGGAATGTGAAAACTGCCAAATAGCTGGTGATAATGCTGTTGCAATTCTCTTCTTTTGTATATGGACAGGCCCTACCCACATAAGCATACTCAGGATGAAAGAATGGGGTTTATCAAATTATGATGCCAGGAATCCCCACTTTTTTTTTTATTTTAGATAATGCACTGACTTCCCTATTGGTTTGTTTTAAGAATATTTATGAATCAAGTTTCATTGGATGAGAATGGCAAAGAACAATTGATTGAATAAAATTATACATAATATGTCTTGTTTTTTTGTTTTTGTTTTTTTTAGTGTTATTTATTTATTTTTCACTTATAGGTCTGATTCTCATGTTTGACTACTGGCTTTCAATTAAGGGGTGAAAAGTGACAGTTATGTTGGAAGAGATTTTAGTTTTGGGATAGGTGGGATATTCAAGGAATAGAGGAATAGCTAATCTAGAAATAGAGAACAAAACAGGGCAGCGAGAGCAGACTAAGACACTGAGCCCAGAAGGGGCAGTGTCGGTCTGGACTCGCGGTCCTGTGTACCGCAAGGACACTCTAGGGGTCCCCAGGGGCTTAACCCCTAAATTGGTAAAACAACGACAAACAAAGATGTTACAGGGTTTTATTTTTGCTTCAAGCATTAAGTTTTGATTTATCTTTTTCTATTACTATACCTGTCTAGCTAGTTTACCAGGGAGAGAGGCTTTATTAAGTTTTTGATCAGTCTATTAGATACTGATCTTTCATTTCTATATATTTTCTCTCCTCGGATACCTATATATCTGGCTGACAAATGGCATATATTGACTACTCCTATTCCTAAGACTCTTAATACAAATGGAAGAGTTCTATATATAGGGATTTTTTGCACATAGGGGGAATCCTGTGACCCTTGAGTGTTCCTGACTTGAGAGTTGCTTTACCCCTACCTGCATGTGTAGCAGACGGCTTCGTTATAGAGACCACTGAGGGATCTGACACTCAGATTTTAACAAGTTTCAATTAAAGTTTATCCTGTTTTTATTTTTTTCTATATGATGTAGATCCCTTTTGACTACTTTGCAGTGGTGCTTCTCTATAATCTATATTGGGGTATAGTTGTTCCTTCTTAATATTGGATATAGTGTATATATTTCATTTTTGTATACTTTATTTTTTTGCCACTATTTCTTATATACCTCACACATTGTGGGTGTATCTAGATAGTACCGATTACGTAGTGTTCGCCTACTAGTCATACCTATATCTAGGTGATGCTCAGGGTCTCGTGACTTGTTCTATTCGAGACCCTGTAACATCTTTGTTTGTCGTTGAATAGCTAATCAAGACTGAAAGCAAGTTTGAATGTCACATAAAAGTAGATATCCAGATTTTAATCTGTTTAATATTTATATTCAAATTTTTAATCACAAAAGTAGAGCTATTACCTACATTATTTTAAATATTAAAATTTTGACAGCCTGTTGGGGGAGCTGCAGTTATAGGCAGCTGAAGATGAGTCTGCTATACATTGCATCATCACTGATTGCTGTTGGCAAGATCCACAAGTAAAAGACCATTTAAACAAAGTTTATAAGTCACTGGATATATAATAGAAATCTATAGAGTGTTGTTTAAAGTATCATCATTCAATAAAGCAATAGTATGGAGAAATGACAAAATAAAATTGGGGGTGGGAGGGCCTTTCCTACAGGCAATGAGAGCAGACGTGTGCGGCTTCAACTCTGACTCTGGGTGAGCTCAACCCACTTGAAATCACAGCAATCCTGAAAAATTGGTAACAAAAAGCGAGATTCCAGATTTCAACCTTTTAACAAAGTATTTTCCAGAAAAAACTGATGGTGATCCAAAGGTCCTCAAGGTCCATCATGGTGTCGCGAGCACCGTCACAGACGGCTTCACAAGCCAGCCACTTTATATCGGAGTCATCAGTGCTCCCTGATGCAGGCATAAGAGAAGTACTGCACAAACTACTTTCCAGGGATGATCTAGCACACATGCTTACCGATTTGGAAAAATCCATCCAAGCCAAAATCTCCTCAACTCCCTGGACACACAAGTTCAACAATTGGGATCAACTGTGGATACCCAGGGCACCCAAATACTACAACTCTACAAATCAAAAAGATCCCCCCCCAAAATAACATGGCTGCACAGATACATGAAAGATCTGGATAATAGGGGGAGACGGAGTAATATCTGAATCCAGAGTCTCCTGGAATCCAACGCAGGACTTGAAAATTTAATACAGATCCTAACTGGACTATTCAATTCCATACTGTACACAGTGGAGTACACCGGGCTCTCGGGCCAAAGGTTAGGCCAGAAGACACACCCCGCGACATTATCTGTTGCCTGCATGAGTTTGCAAAAAGAAACCATTATGAAACAGGTGAGAATAGCACCTGCAATACGCTATATGGAACATCCAATTCAACAATTTCAGGACTTATCCTGGATCACCATACAAGGCTAGAGGGCCCTGGCCACAATTACCAACCACCTGCGTGAAAAAAAAAAAAAAAACTGATCAGATACATTAAATGGAAATCCCCATCTGTAAGCTACTAACAATGGAACTACCGCGACAATCTACACTGCAGAGAATGTACCCACCTTCACTCAAGCGTTTGGATTACATGAAGTACACGTCCAGGATTGGTACGAAGAACTGGGAAACTCACCAAACCCTCTACAACCGCAGGACCTGGCTGGTCCCAGAAAGCGCCAGACCTCACCCAGGCTCACCTCATTTTCCCAAGAGGGTGAGACTATCAGACTGGACTTAACCATAAAAAGATTCTGATAAGCAGTCACTTGTAATGCCTGAAAATCCTCTCAGAGCAGGAGCTGTAAAGTATAACCCTTTCTATTGCTTATGTTGTGTATAACCTTGTATGTACCTAATGCACCCATTCCTCCAGATAAGTAAATGATCTTCCTCTTACCCACAAAATTAACCTGTTTAGAAGTCAAAAAACAAATCCATTACCCATAACATAACTCCCTCACCCTCCAGGTAATGGCACCCTATTTTTTTTACGAACGGAATCCACAAAGGTAGAGAGACTAGTTGATTTTAGTTATACACACACACACAACTATTTTCTCTTAAATGTTAGCTCGTTGTAAAGCATATTCCGCTTATATATGGCCCTAATACTTATTAGCCCGATTGTTTTTCAACTCACCTATTTTCTCTCCAGATTAGAGGCAGTGAACTACACATGGGATATACTCTAGTTTACATAGGAAAGTCAGGCAGACTCCTAAAATTTAAATGGTTAAGCCCCCCTCACTCACTTTTGTGTCTCCAGGATAAGGTGAATCGGCTTCAGCTGAGGAGGACTCTGCCACGGCTGATTCAGAGGATGCTGAATGGGTCTGGCTCTATCCTCTGTTCCTAGATGTAACACTCGCCGAGTGTCTATGTTCCACGTTCTACTCTTTCCAAATGCAAAGCCAGGTGCCGGAAATGGCGAAGGTGCGCTCTGTGCACAGGCTGGGAGGTCCTGGCAGTGGAACACACACTGGTTGCAATGCGTTCCACTGGGAAATATTTTAATGGTTTCCAGGACCATGGGGGATGTCAAAACCCAGCAGCAACTGTTTGCCAGGTGCTCTCAGTTCTGTTGAGGTGTGCTCTCACCAGCCCTCCAGTACAAACAGAGGCCATTTTAAAGACTTTTTGCTTTTGTCTTATGGTCTCTTGCCTGAAAATTTTATTTTTTTATTTTTCCTCACTGGTATGATTTCAGTATGTCTATACTTATAAATCTGCTGAGAGCGAAAATGTCTTCCAATTCAATGCATTTAATCAGTTCCTTCTATGTGCAGCCCAGCTGGACGGCCATAAGAAGGTTCTATACATACGAAGTAATAGGTGGAGCTGGGTAATGTCCTATATCTGTAAGACAGAATAAATGCAAATAGCGTAGAGAGTCTGCACAAATAATAATAGAAATAAAATCGTTGAACTCACAAGGTTGGAGTCATACCATCATATGACTCTAGCGGTATGTTCCTTTGGACCATTAGGGGGTTGTCCAGACCCTATCGTTGGTTACTGGATACTCCTCTTTAGTGGTTCTTTGTGTGTCCCCCAAGGAATTCTCAGTATGTTGCTTATTCTTAAAATAGATATTTCTTTATTTCCAATATAAAATGTTAACAAAAATTAACAGTAAACAAAAATACTATACCAATAAATATTGGATATAGATAAGGTAGGTTAGAGTGTCCAAAACGCGTTTCGCCTGATGTACAGGCTTCCTCAGTACAAATAGTAAATATCTATTTTAAGAATAAGCAACATACTGAGAATTCCTTGGGGGACACACAAAGAACCACTAAAGAGGAGTATCCAGTAACCAACGATAGGGTCTGGACAACCCCCTAATGGTCCAAAGGAACATACCGCTAGAGTCATATGATGGTATGACTCCAACCTTGTGAGTTCAACGATTTTATTTCTATTTCTATTATTATTTGTGCAGACTCTCTACGCTATTTGCATTTATTCTGTCTTACAGATATAGGACATTACCCAGCTCCACCTATTACTTTGTATGTATTGTATTTGTTTTTATAGTGGTGTAAGGGGTACCACTTTATAGGTGTTTAAAGAGCTACCACATTTTTTATCACTGTGTACTTCTTTGTTTTCATATTGTTATAAGAAGGTTCTAAGTTAGCTTCTTATAAGCTGGAAAGGCTTAAAGAGACACTCCACTGCACAGGTACAAAAAATAAAAATCACTGTGTGGCGAAAGTGACCTCGCCACTGGTTTTTGGAGGGGACTACTTGCCAGCCTTTTACTCTGTGACTATGGCCCCTTTAATTTATTTTGGCTGAGACCCTAATTTTGCCTATTGGCACTTTAAACATTGGTTCTTCGAACAGTCGAAGTGGCCGCCATTCGTCATTCGCGACCATCTTGTTCCCATGGACCAAAACCGCGAATAGACTTCAGGGGGACTTAGCCGCGAATGCCCTGGAACTATTTTCGGCATGAAAACTTCATAGGTCCCAGTCGGTCCTCCAGCGGCACTTAGCCGCGAATCTATGGAACGGTTTTGGGCATGAAATCCTGGGTTCGCCTGGGCAAAAATATGACTTCCAGAAAATTTCTGAACATCTGATCTGGGTGATTTTTGGACATGTTGTTCACCCAGATCAGAGCTATTTATTATGTGTATTGTGGTACTTCTGGTACTTTATAAAAATTTGTTTTTTCTGCCTGGGGATAATTAAGTTAATGTATTATCTACCT